TATACAACGCGTTGAGAGATCTGCTCGCTCACACCGCCAACCGTTATGCAGCTCCCGAGGTAGACAAAGCTTTTGATCACTTCCAGTGCAGGAACTAGTTCCTGTCATTCTTGCAGCAACACTTTGCATTTTGAAAATGCAAAGGACATACCATAGTGAGTAACCTCAATTGCCACACAATTCAATGACTCTTGACTCGTTGCGTTGTCACCGAGTAAGGCAATATCATCGAAATACCTACATTTCAAGGAGACTGCTTTTAGCTGGCAGTAGTATTTCAATTGTGCCTACTTTCTGGCCATGAAGTTCTGAATGAATAAAAAGGATTGCGACTGTTGCCCGCAATGATCTCCGTTTGTCTAGATTTTCCTACCCATAGTGCATCACGGAATGCTTCTACGTTACCCAGGCCATAGCAGTAAACCTAATTGAGGAAATCACAACCAGAGCATTTAGCTAGCCAAAGCCTGACCCACAAGGCAGCAGGCTGGTGTGAAAACCGCAATCCATTGGGGACCAGTATCCAGTTTATCGAATCATATTCCCTTTGAACAGGGTCAACCGTTTTAAATGCTCAGTGGAGCCGGTGACCACCAACACAATCACGAAGGTGTGTGCACCTCTTTGTTGGTTTAGAATCAGAGTTTCTAGCCAACTCCAACGTTTACGGACAGGTTATAGCCCTGGATGCTGACTTTTTGTTCGCTTACTTCGGTGAAGAAACAGCTTCATATGAAGGCGGTGAGTAGAGCTTTCTTAGTAGAGGCTGTTTGACAGTTAGTCACATAAGAGTGTGAGATTCAAGGTCCGGGCGACCAATCACAACTCAAGAATCGCGACCGTACTCAAACTTGCGGTATCGAAAAATATTCATTCAGCCGACTCACTCAGATATTTGAAGAAAGTTGTTCAGATCTAACGCGGTGTATCTAGACAATAACACCTACGCAAGTTTGAGATCTATGTTTAGTGATATTCTTAGTCTAACCGCAGCATTGTTTATCATGTTTTCTGACTAACCTCATACAATGTTGCCTGCTGTTATCATCCGTACGATATGCCCATGCCTCTCGTCTATGTCATGGGACTCACCGAACTGCTACAGAATAGCTTAGCAACCGAATGCGGAGGTCATGCCAGGGATAGTACGAGTCGGCAAACTAGAGTATTTGTGTGCATGCTGACACTAGAACTGGTAAATTGGTCGATTTAGTTAACTGGGACAACTCTCCGCATTCTATCTTGTTAGGGTAGGGTAGAGAGTGAAATCCATCCAAAATCCTTTACACTCATATCATAACTGCTCTAGCAAGTGAACGGTTCAGGATAGCTTGCAATGTACCCATATCTCCACTGAGGAGTGTGCCGTCTGTACTGTGGATCTGTTTCAGTTTCAGTTTTTACAACCATTAACTATGAACTTTCGTGCGCCGGTTTTGGTTTCTATCTTTTGGCTGCCCATTTGAATAAAAGAGGTGACAATTCACTACCTTGAAGCACGATGCCACTACATTTGCTGAGTTGCAGAACCATTTCTTATATCAAATCAGAACCAATATCTTCAAGCTGGTGAACTCGGTGAATGCTGATTTCCTTCGATACATGCAGGTGCATGAAAAGTGTACTTGACCTTGTCTTCGACGATTCGTGAGTGAATTTCTCCTACACTTAAGACGTATGATCAGTGACAAATCCCGATGTTACAACGCAGTTTGGGAATAAAAATGGAAACGCGGTAGGACAGCGAACTAACAACAGATCGGTAGAGAAATTTTAACTTGCTTCTTTGTGGATTATGTAAGCATCCAGATTTACGAATACCAATGTAGGCCCTAGTTATCAGTGTAGGGAGGTCATTGAATACCGTTTGTTATGTTTATAATGCATTTGATAATATTCCTTGCATTGTTCACAAGGGAATTCATCTTTGTTGATATATTCATTATCTCAAACTGTTTAACTCTTCCAGAAGCCTTATTATGTACCCAATGACTGATTGTTCTCAAGTGACTCATTCTCATTCTTTTTAACTCCATAGAATTTGCACTTAATTGACTTGACCAGAGAACTGTATCGTAGTTGCCTGATTGAATGGAGGATTCTTACGTTGTTTGGGAAAACCTGCTGATCGTTTATTGTCTTCTGTTGCATCAGTCCTTTTGATCAAGTACGAACAAATAGGACCATTTTTAACTGATCGCGAGCCATTTCGTATTTCATTTTTATTACACAAGGTGATTTACAGCAAAAGGAATAAATCCAATAGCCAATGACATACTGTAACGAGGTAGGTATGTGGAAGGATATTCAAGTGAGAAGCAATTTGTTAATACTGCTTTACAAGAGAGTAGGATTGTGAGTGCTTGAAAATGCGGGAGTGAAGAGAGTGTTCCACAATATCATACTCCTGGGGAAGTAAGAAGACTGGATGACTGGAGGTTCGGCAACTGCGGAGAAAACCCCGATAAGAGTGACTGCCTGTTTGAGAGCGTTATGGTCGAGAAAGGGCCAAGAAGAGAAGAAGAACAGGCTGAACCATATTAATTTTACCACCCTTCTCTGAAATGGGTTGCGATTCAATGAACGGAAACTGCAGATACATCAATTTAACTTGAGGTGGCAGCAAAGATTTTTGCACAGCTTTCGCTGACGTCATGGCACACTTCTACCTCGTTCTATCCAATCCCTATGTAGTTCACCACTCCGAACTTCACTTCGTAGGCTCTGCCCTTGGGTGATCTGTACAAGGATAAAGCTAACTTTATTAGCCGCACCTTGAAAATACTTGTTTGATTTTTCACATCGTTGTTTCATTATCGTTGCGAAAATCATAGGTTTTATCTCCTGATGTGAGTTTCTTGCACTGTGCATTATCATCCAGGGAGAACTGACTGAACCCATCGAATTGGAGCGGCGTCAGATGGAATTGTTACGTCGCCAAAAGGATATTGATCTCGGTAAAGTCACTCCGCGTTATGCTGAATACGTGTTGAGTATACCTAAACCGGAACGTGAACGGTACATGCCACGTACTCCTAACAAGTTTCGCAAAGTATCGCGTCGGGCTTGGGATGGAATGATCCGCAAATGGCGCAAGCATTTACACAATTTTGACGATTTAAAGTGAGTCTATTCTAGTGGTTTTCCGACTGATCTACTTTCAAATAGCAAACTGCATGACATCTCGTTTCACAAACTGTAAAACTGTAGTCTATATAGTTTCCTGTGAACAAGTACTAGTCTTTTCGTTGATTTTGCCTACTTTCTGACAGGGTTTTACTTACACCAACTGTGTGTGCGTGTATGGTGGCTGGGAAAGAGCACCGGATAGCCATTCCGTCTTTGAGAGTAACCATTCACCTACGGAGATGTAGTCGAATTCGCACGGGCTCGTTGAACAAGGATGTTTATTTCATTTTTCTTTACACAGCCCCGTTTACCCCAGAAGGCAAGAGGGTTGTCATCATGTATGGGGACCCCTCCACTGATATCCACATCGCACAGTTGTTCTCGGTCACATTCTTCACTGGTTTTCAATTTGTATGACAAATCTGCTTCTGATTGGAACGTTTGTAATCAAACTGTCTATGAGTTATTGTGCAAACCCCCGAGTTCGAGGAACGTGACCAGTGTATCGTTCAATGAAGCTTTTGATCCTAGTGTTCACTTCAACAGACCGAGAACCGTGATTCCATAACATGACGTTATTGCAATTATGGCAGTGCTTTCGAACTAAGGTTTTGGATTTTTAACCGATAATAAAACTTGTAGATGTGAAAAAAGCAAATAAGGAAATTTAAACTAACTAATGTCTTTTAATTGCATGGTAAAAATAAAGTAGCTGAAACCTCTTTTCAAAGGCACCAACTGTTCAGTTACCGGAACCGGCCATCTTGGTTTGGGTACGAGAAGTGGTGAACAATGATACTCGTTTACGACGGGGCACCTACTTCTCGCCTGGCAGAATCATCACGAATGTGTCAACACGTATAACGATTTGCATTGATCAACTTGAGACATCTATGACGCCGTCGCGACATGAGGCTCTCCGTGAAGGGTCGAGTGTGTGCTGCAATAAATCAGTCAGTGCTGCTGTGCGACGCAGAAACCTGGCCATTACGGGAACAGGATAGGAATAGATTGCTGGTGTTCGAACACCGATTTCTATGTCGCATCGTACGAGTTTGGTGGGGAAACCAAACAAGCAATGTTGAAGTTACACCTAGAGTTTTAGGTGATCGCGTCGTCCACTGGAGCAACAACTGGTCGACCTTCGTAGATTACGCTGGTTGGGATGTGTTGCGCATGTCAGCAAATAGATTGCCACGGCGCGCGATTTTTACCGAGACAGGTAATGGATAGAAAAAGGTTCAAGGACGGTCAGATGAGAACTTGGTATGGGGGTATGAAAACCGTAACCAAGACACTGGGTCACTAGATGCCCTTAGGTCTCCTGGACGGAGACTTTGAGATCGTGGTAACCGGTAATTAGAGACGCTTAGTGATATGACTGAGTATCGCAAACAGTGGCGCTCATGCATCTAATCAATATTCTCGCAACCGCAGTATACATGAATTCTCTATCTTCGTCTTGACTCTGCTTTCAACGTTCCAAACTTCATCCGAATCTTTTAACCAAAATGGGAGGCCAATAGACAGCAACCACAACCGGCGCACGAAAATGCATCGTTAATTGTTGTAAAAACTGAACTGAACTGAACTCCTCAATCACCGGTCGGCTGAGCGCCACCACATTCACGCATCTTGATCGGGACAACTGGCACCGATACGCTGATCGTTGACTATGCAATTACTCAATCAACCATAGTGTTTCACTCTTATTTCTTAAACATAACACGTCAAACACAATCAAAGGCACGATACAGCATGCAAAAGTGAAGATGTGGGATAATGGTAGAATTCTAACGCATTGCCTCCGTGTCGATGTGATGATTTGAGCACCCTTGATGCTGCTCTTACTGCCACAAAACAACATTGAACCACTTTCGAGTGTCAGCTAATCAGTGCGAAAACTTAATCAGACCAATCGACACAATAATCGACTGATAGGTGATAATAAAAAGCGTGGATCACTGTCGAGATACAGAGTTTGCGATCTAATTGTTTTAAAATGACAGGATTAACCGACCTGCTGTCGTTTTTTCCCGCTACGTCCGAGTCCGAATTTGAAACCTTATCCTTACTACAGCTGTGCACATGAAATCTATCGTCATTTCATAAAATGATAATGCTCTCGACATATTGCTACTACCATTTTTGTCATATACAGAAGTTGCACGTTTCGCTCTTTTGTATACTATCCTTTAGCTTCGAGGAAAGCTGGCGATCGTTGTCGTCCACTTACATGTCGACAGGAAGCGGTTTATCCACTCCAGATCGTAGCATTTCCAGTGCAGCACCATCGGATCACGAAGATGAACGGGATACCCAAGATGTCAAGCTGACGGCCACTGCAACGGTCAATCTATCGGCAGTACCAGGGGATCGCGGCTCATTAACAGTTAAATACTCTTCTCCACGTGCATTTCAGACAAGACAAATTAAAGCGGAAGAGGAAGACGAAGATACACTTCAGGCTAATCCCAAAGTGTTCCGAGGCAAATCGCCCGCCATAAGAGGGATTAAGCAGTGTGAAGACGAGGACACATTGTCTGCCATGCCAACAGTCGAGGGACGTAGGCTGACGAGAAGGTCAGTTTGCATTTTACGTGACATCCTCTTTCCTGGGATCTCCGAATTTATTAGAAGTTATGTTTTCATGCAGTCATTTCTCAAATTTTGTACATTATATTCTGTGTGGCTTTTGATAGTTTTCGGTTTAATATCTTTTGGGCACTCAGTGTCCACAACTTACGAGGCCGGACTTTCTGAATTGCTAATGACGTTTGCCTGTTGCTATGCCTTTATGATCTGGTTTGTCTTGGGAAATTTGGCTCGGAAGAATTCATCCGCGCGCCAAATCTTGCCTTGCAAGAAATGGTACCTAGTAGAAGCTCACTTTACCGTCGTAACTGTGAATTATTTACGAACTACAAAACCTAGAACCGCATCTCTACTATTTTGTGCCCATTGTCGTCTACGTTTCATAGCTAGCTCTGGTGAACTACGGTTCTTCTGCGTACAACTTGGCTTTCTGCTGGTTTCAAGTCGGCTAAAACGAAGCAGTGATAACATGAATAATCTAGACTTACCGTTGACTTGCAAAACTACGCGGACGAAGCATTTTAGAATAGAGACACCTCAGATTCACGCATTTGCTAATACACTCAGTTAAATGCTCCTATGGAATGCCTATATGCATTATATAAGTAAGTCATTTCGGTTCTTGAAGTGTTTGTCTTTCGCATGGAGAGTTATCCTTGAAGTCATTGCTTTTGGTTTGAGAGAGAAATCCTCACAGAAATACACAAAGATACTACACTTGGGTTCTCCATATGTAATCTAACATGATTAATGCGCATTCATTTGCTTAAATACAATCTGGTGAAAAAGAATGTGACACGTAAGAATGCGCCTTTCGCAAGCACATTCATCACTGCACCTTGACGTGGTGTGATGGCTTGTGCACCTCTGAACCAACGAGCTACACAGGAT